ATTGACAAGAACTGTGAGGAATTTAGAAGTACTTTCACAGTTTGTGGAAATGTTGAACAAAATAGTGAGGGCATAACTTTAGAAAAGGGTAATTGTGTAGTGAAAAGGATTATAAAAATATAGATAAGTTGTATTGAAACTTAATTTTGTAGTGTTTAACCAACTAGGGCAAATCAGATATTTTAGAGGTGCCATTAGTTTACTTTTTCAATTTGTTGGTATTGCCTATTAAAGTGTCATCAGAACATTCAGCAATTCCTTTCAGATTTTTTGGTTTGAGGTATTGTGTAATCATTCCTCTGCAGTTTTGTACAATCAGACAAGATGCCTGAGAGGATAAATACTGAATGGTGTGCTTCTTTGTTAAAGAAATAGAAATGCAGCTTGAGATTTTTTAAAGTAAGAATGTACATCTTTTACAAAATATTATGATGGTTTGAAGTTTTTGAAGGCATTTGAAGAATATAACATGCAGTTTTGTATGATGTGGAGATAAAACTATTGATTTACATTTGTGTAATACTGAAATTAGGCTAAATTAAATGGGTGATGGGTAATTTAAGAAATGATTTCTAATGCTTTGTTCCAGATAATTCAAGATCTGATGTCTATGTAACTACTTAGAATTCTTGACTAGGTGAGATCCAGAGTTTTAAATATTCTCACCAGTCTAGCTCCAACTTTCTACCTCCAAAATTTAAATATAAAACAACAATAAAAAACAACCGTGTTCTAGGAAAATATATCATTAGCACTATTTACAGATGCTAGATTTTCAAATGCTAGTATTTTCATGATTATAATTCATGAGCAATCTTTACTAGATTTAATGCTGAACCAACATGTGCAGTCACTGAATTCATTGTACATCTTTTGTTTTAGGAGAGGACTGTTCTTATTGTACTCTCTGGGAACTTTAGAATAACTAGAAATCATAAAATTAGGTAATTTTCCTGATAAACCCATGTCTAGTTCTCTAGGCTTTTTAGATTTAGGATAGGATATGTTGGCTCTCAACTTCAAAGTGGACCCTAAACTATGATCCTGGGCCTTCTAGTATTTGTCTGTCTGTCTTTGCTGAGATGTCTGGCCTCTGGGGAGGGTCTCTTTACATTTAGTAGGTTGATCTTTCTTTTTTAGAAAGACAAACTTCTCTTGAGGGAGGGTTTTTCCTCCTTTTTGTTCAAAGATATCTCTTAAATTAACAATTTTGTTCATATAAAAAGTTGTCCAAAGTGGGATCTGTAAGTCTTAAATTATTATTCTTGGTGAAAATATTCCATTAAGAAAGATAAGTACCTGAATTAAAAGAAGCAGGTGTTTGGCTTAGGGTTTGCGGGGTGGGATTGGGGTGGTGAGATTGACTAAAAAAATCAGTTTTGTGAAGTGTTGCTTGCACACCTCACGTCTCGCAACTGCAACCAAATCGTTGGCTACCTTCAGGTAGACACTTGATGACAATGCCTGGTTGATTTGGAGGTTTGGAGAGATCTCTACCAGGTCAGACTCTCATGGATAAAACAACCCAAGACTAAGGAAAGTTATGGGAAGGTTTTGATGAGTCATCTAACATAAAGTTTGTCCAAAGGATGCTTGGCCTCTGGGAATTATTCAACAGAACTAAACTCACGGAATCTATCCTATCCTGTACCTCTGAATGTTGTCTTAGAAACTTACACAACAAGAAAGTCCAACAGCTCAAGACAAGTAGGTTGTTGTGAATAATAATGCAGGTTTTAATCAAGTTCATTTTGATCAAATAATTATGTAATTTAATTTATAAAGTAATAGAAATTGGTTAGATTGCAATTATTAGGTAAATGTAATGAATAGATGGATAAAGGGACATACAGAACGGACTGTTTATATTTTGAATAAAGAAGGTACCATCGGAAATATTAACCTAAGTTTTTTTAAATATGTGAAAGTATTTATTTGCAAGGCTTTTCTTCAAAAAAGGACCTTAAAATTTTTATGTGTCCCTGGATTGGCCACCTAATTGCTTTTGAAATCACTTTCTTTCTGAGTTGGCTATTAATACTTTTAGTATGTGAGTGAAATCGCACATTTGTAAACCTAACGAGCCTGTGTAGAACAAGCATTAGCAATATTTTATGCTAAATTTTATTGATATTAATAGAAAATCATAAGTAATCTCTTGCTGTTGAAATTTATAATTACATTGAAACTATTCTTACAACTTAATAATAAAAAAATGACCAGATGTATTTATCTTTTTTAGACAATGGAAATTGAAATGCATGGTTAAGAAATTCTGATTTTCAGAATAATGAGTTACATATCATTAGTACAATGACCTGAAGTTATTTTACCAAGATGTAATTTTTCTTTCTTTTTGATTTTTTATTGAGGTATAATTAACACTGTATTAATTTTAGGTGTACAGCATATGATTTGATATTTGTATATATTGAGAAACAATCACAGTAAGTCTAGTTAACGTCCATCACTGCACATTGTACAGATTTTTTTCTTCTAATGAAAGCTTTTCACATTTACTAGAATATAATTTTTCATCTATTTTATTTCTTAAATAAACTTTAAAAATAGCTGAAGTATAATTTACATACAGAAATTTATAGATGAGCTTTTTACAAAGTGAACACACCTTTGTAACTATAACCTAGATCAAGATATCAATTCTTCTGAAGTCTGTGTTCTGTCCCAGTCTAGTAACCCCTTTACCTAAAAGGTAACTGTTATTCTGACTTCGTAATCAGAAATTAGTTTGGCTTGTTTTTGAATTTAATAAGAATAGAGTATTATTTTTATACTTTTATATTATTTTATTATATGCCTTTTTTTTTTGTCTTTCCTGGCTTCCTTCACATAGTATTGTGTTTGTGAGATGTATCCAATTTTATGTGTGGCATTAGTTTTCTCATTTTTACTGAGGTTTAGGATTCTATTCTAAGACCACACTACAGTTTATTTCTCCCTTCTCTTGCCAGTGGACATTTGGGTTATGTGCAATTTGGGGTTTTTAAAATATTGCTTGCTGCAATTATAAATCTTGTACATAGCATTTTGTGCACATATGTACACAGGTCTATTGATTGTACACCTCAGAGTGATATTACTTAGATATACAGAGTGATATTACTAAATCAATACTTAGGTATGTATTTTCACCTTCAGTAGTAGATACTTCCACATAATTTCCTACACTGGTTATACCAGTTTACATTTCTGCCTGTAGTGTTTGAGAATGCAAGTTGCTGCACATTCTTGCTTACACTTGAGTTTGTCTGGTTTTTAGATGAAAACTAGTCACTTTGATGGGTAATGATTTCTTACTGTGTTATGTGTATTTTCCTTGTGGATTGTAATGTTGAGGATCTTTTCAATATGTTTACTAGTTTCTGAAATGATCTTTCATGAAGTTTGGTTTAGTCTTAAGCCTGTCTTAAAATTGGGTTGTCTCCTTGGCAGTTTAAAGTTTTATTTTTTAATTTGTAAATGTCCTTTGTTGGACATGTGCATTGAGAATATTTTTTCCTACTCTGTAGGTTGCATTTTGCTTTTTTTAAGAAGGCAACTTTTTAATGAAGTCAATTGTTGTGTTAATGTGTCTTGCTTAAGAAATCTTTGCAGACTTCAAAGTCATGATGTTATTTTCCTGTGAATGAAGCTTTATTGTTTTAAGCTTTATTGTTTAGGTTTCTAACATATTTTTTTCTTCCTCTTTTTTTCCATGGCCTGTGGATGGATGTAATTCATTCTGTGGATATTGATTTTACCAGTAATAGTGATAGAAAAGTAAAAGTGATAGGGCTTATTCTAAAGAAAACATTTTTTATATCAGCTATACTTCAATTAAATAAATGAATAAAATAAAATTAGGCTTTAAATTAAAAAAATTTATTTTTATTGTATTATATTTCTAGTATGGTAATATTTTCTGCTAGTTAAGGTAGGTAATTTTTATTCCGGTGATTCTTTAGAAGGAATTTAAGAACTTTTTTTTTCTGACTAAAAGAGGTATTCAGTTTTACTCCATTTTATGTCATGCTCTGTCTTGTTTTGTGTTTGAGGAGTCATAGTATGGGGTCTTAAAGGTACTGGGTTGTGCATTCAAAAGGTAGCAACTGTATTTAAACAGATGACTTCATCTTTATAGGACTTCATTTCTTTAATCTGTAAAATGGCGAGTAAATGAGGTGATTAAAAAAAAGTTTGTGGCTTTTTGCAAGTCCTGAGCAGTGTGTCTGGCACGCAATAAGAGCTTTATTCTTAAACTTTTTAGTGCTTTATTCTTGAATATTTGAACTTTGTTTTGAGCCTTGGCTGAAAGGATATATAATATGTTTATTATAAAGTTATTTATACCTAACTTTTATAAATAAAAAATTAAATTTGTCAGTTTATATATTTCTATCGTGGAAAAAATATTTTAAATTTGTTAGTACCAACATAGGGTAGGTTAATTTTTAAATAAAAATAGAATAATTAGTTTGTAAAATATCTTTCCACTTCACTGACTCTGCTTTAACTTTGTCAACACTACAGTTAGATCATCTAGATGCTACTTAAAAGATGGTCTCACTACAGATATAAGAATGTAGGGTATAACATTTTATGTTGAGTGGTAACTACAGATATCAGAATGTAGGGTATGATATTGTATGTTGATAGTCAAGAGGAATTTAACATGAATGCTTCTCTAAGACACTTAGCATGTTCTGTCTTCATCTGATTTTTAAATCTGATTTGTTATACAACTTACTCTTTGTAGACTAATAAACTGTACCAATATCTTGGTACTTCATTAGTTTTTCCATATATTACATATAAAATTTCAGTTATAAGATTAGGAAAAATATGTTTTATATTTATCATGTGCCAAAGTTTCAATATGTGATGTGGGTTTTAAAGTGTCAAACAAATTGCCCTCATGTAAATGGGATTCTTGTGTAAATTTTACAAAGCAAGGGTCACTTCTGAAGGTGAAAAATGATTTCTTTTTTTTTATTATTTAGGTAGTCTCAACCATCAAGGAAATTTTTAAAAGGCTATCTAAATATTTGGTAAGTACATTCTCCATGTTAAATACTTTGCATGTTACTTAAGGTTGCATGTGTGTTACATTAACATATACAATAGCCAGTGTAGATTACAGTTTTATTAAAAAAATTTTTTACCTGTTACTGTAATTTCTTCTCTTTATTCTTATTTTGACTGCCTTCTGATTCTTTCTCACATTGTATCCGGAAAATTCTTTCAGTGTTCAGCCTAAGTATTACAGAGTGCTAAGAAAGAAATAGTCTTTGTGAGCAAGGATGCTAATACTTTGTGAGTGAAACAGGATTTTTCCCACATCAAATTTTTGTAACAGTTTTCTATTAACTCTTGGTACTAGTACACATTTCTTCTTCAGCCTTCCATTACTTGACTTCTTCTTAACATAAGATCCACAATAAGCCAACACAAAGACCAGTACTCTGGGCAGGCCCTATGCTGTTTCCTATCTGGGCTACTCCAGTTTCTTTAATACATTATAATAACAGTAATAATATTATAAAATGAAAAATTTGGTAGGTGTCTATAGTCAAGAATTTCATAAACTTATGATTTTACTAGATAAAGCTTTTACTTTTTTATTTTTGAGTAAAAGTGGAAAGTTAATCTCAGAATATGCTTTACTTCCACTTTATAGTATTTTAGACTTGTGTGCTATGGTGACTGTATAGCTATGACATTGCTTTGGTTAATAATGATAGATTTTAAAATTATTAAATATACTTCAACAATGGGGGGAGATACTGAGCATTGATTAATTGTCATAATGTAGTTTTTTGATTGTTTTAATATAGTCAGTAATATATTTTTAAGGATGGATACTTTTATTTGATCAGCTAACAAATTTCTTGGATACGTGAAGAAATACTTAATAAACATTTATTTTTTTAAATGTTTGAAACAATAAATATTCATGTGATGTTTCTAAAATTCTATAGTATGATAGTTGTTGCTTAAATATTCAACAATTATTCTGTTTACTATATATATAATAAATGCAACATTTTTAGGACCAAATGATAAAAATCTCTTAAATTTTTACTACTTTAAAATGTGGTAACTGGTTTCTGGAGATGTACTAAGTAGAAAAGAGTAACTTACTATAATTTTTTCCCCTTTGATGCATATATTTGAGTTAGATTGAGGGATTTTGCATTGTATATAGTTTTATTTTTGCACATGTATTTATTTTTAGTGACTGCTTTATTGACATATAGTTCAGATACCAGAAAATTCATCCCAAAGTGTATAATTCAGTAGTTTTTAGTATATTCAGAGTTGTGCAGTTATCATTATTATATAATTTTAGGACAGTTTTTCACCACCTTTTCCTCAAAAAAACTCCTTTATCTATTATCAGGCACTCCCTATTTCTCTTTAAATACCCCTGCTCCTTGCACTATAGACCACCAATAATATATTTTCTGTTTCTGTGGACTTACCTGTTCTGTACATTTCATATAAATGGAATTCTGTATTTGTCCTTTTGTGTCTGACTTCTTTCACTTAGCATAATATTTTCAAGTTTCATCATGTTGTAGCATTTATCATTCATTCTTATGGCTAAAAAATACTCTATTGTATACCACAACTTTTTGCTATTAGGAATGCTTCTGCAATGAACATTCTTATATAGGTTTTTGTATGGACATATGTTTTAATTTTCTTTGGGTATATACTTACAGGAGTGGAATTGCAAGTAGGATAACTTTGTTTTCATCTCTGAGCAACTGTTAAAATTTGGCCGCACTATTTTGCAATCTCACCAACAGTGTATGAGGGTTCCAGTTTCTCCACACACTCACAGACATTTGCTACTGTCAGTCTTTTTAGTATTTTACCCATCCTGATAGGTATGAAGTACTATTTCATTGTGGTTTTGATTTTCATTTCCATAAAGACTAATGATGAGCATTATTTTGTATGCTTATTGATCATTTACATAGGCTCTTAGGAGAAATGTCTGTTGAAATCCTTTGCCCATTTTTTAATTGGGTCATCTTTTTATTGTTGAATTGTAAACATTTTTTATATGTTCTGGAAAGTAGTCTCTTATGAGGATATGATTTGCAAATATTTTCTCCCATTCTGTGGATTGTCTTTTCACTTTCTGGTGTTCTTTGATTGGAGCACAAAAGTTTTTAATTTTGATGAAATTTATTTAATCTATTTTTTTCTTTTGTTGCTTGTGCTTTTGGTGTCATATTGGTAATTTCCTTTTAAAATAAATATTCATTGATAGTCTAGATCTGTGACAAGGTTTTAATTATCACAGGACTATGCAGCAGCATTGGCATTTCCTGTGTTTGACAGCCAGAGCCCAAAGGAAGCAATTACCCTTGTATTTGTGCTTCAGTTCCTCAGCTAATTGTTTTAAGCAAAATGTTATGTTTTGATCCCATGCATTACCCATGAAAATGTTAGCTGTGTGTAATGTTTATTGATGTTACTCTTGTGAATTTATTTTTAGTTTTCTGGATTGGAGAAGAACTCCGTACTTCAGTTCATCTTGGCATTACTGCATATTTGATTTCATACCTTAATAAACCATTTCTTTTTAGGTTAAGAGTATTATCAGAGTTCTTTTTAACTTTCCTGTGAAGAGAGTAGTAGATTTTGAGAATCTTACTGATTTAAATCTTGTGCAGCTTATTTGTAGGCAGTAATGTTTTGATGTATTTGCAAACCTGTATATGGAATATATATGTATTTCTTCTGCTTTGTAAAGTATGTGTCTTTTTAATTTTTATGGTATCATTTTAGTTCCTTGTATTTTATATTATGTGGCATCTTTTATCAATTGAAGGCATATTTTAGGATGTTTGGCCTATAATCTATAATGTCTAATTTGGTTTTTTAGAGAAATGGAATGTAATAATGAAATGTCACTGTTAGTAACATTGGCTTTCTGTGTAAGGGCAAGAAGTTGCAATATAGTGCAATAAATATATTTTTCTTAGGGGAATTTTCTTTTGTTTGTATCTTTCATATTATCTAACAATATTCTGTGTCAACTTTAAACAACCAAAAGTCTGTTTTAATGAAATTTTATAGAGTTAAGATCATTGATATTCTTCTTGTTAGTTGATTTTAAATCTTGATGTCCATTGGTTAACACTCACTTGTTTCCACTGAATGGGTAAATATTTTTCACATTAATGTTTTTATAGTTTGTGTTATACTCTTCATGGACATTTTACAGTAGAAAAGAAATAAAAATTGATGTAGCTCATTCATGATGATAAATTTTCAGCTGTGATAAAATAAGGAAAAGATTTAGTTTACCTCTTTCTATAGTAAATACCAAATGTGGTGATTAAGAGGATCCTGATAACCTGTTTATGGCTGAATTAAAGACAAAAAACCTTCGGTGCACTTTACTTTCCCTCTTCCCTTCTCTTGTTCTATATCCTTACTGTCATAATAATTGATGTATGTTCTCATTGTGTATTTGTCTTTGAAGTGGAGGTTTACTAGGAGTACAGAGCCCTTTTTCCTACAAGGGTAAGAAGGATTACCCTTTAGTTAAACCACAGATTTTTCACTAAAGTCAGTGGGGAAGCCTTGTACTATAGGTAGCTTCTCATCACATGTCCTAGAGTTTGCTACTCTGCTGACCCATAATATACCTTGCAGATATTGGTCAGGGTTGTAGGGCTAGAACAATTAAACTATTCTTCATTAGAAGGGTTTTTCACTACTTACTAATCTTACTCAGGAAAGCTTAACTGGACTTGGATCATTCTAAATGTCACACTATTTTTGCACAAATGTCTGAAAAGCATTGCACAGTAGTATTGATTCCCTGTTCATCCAGTACAATTTCTGTAGTAACTGCATCAAGAGGGAAGTTTTCCTAAATGACTTTTCCTTTAGAATTCACTTTTTAAGTGAAAAACTTAATCATATTCAGTCTAGTACTAGTCTTCTCAATTTTATTCTAATTAATACCAAGGATTTCCACATTGCTGATCTTTCTTCACAAATTTCCCAGTCTGTTAATCTAAAGAGTTACAACTGTTCATTTTTTTCTGTTTTGTTCCTTATTCATGGACTGCCTAACATTGCTGGAGTTACATCAGTTACTGTCATGAAAGGTCCCTAGTGTAAACTCACATTTTCCCCCCTTGCTTAGCCTCAGTGCTTCCTGGCAGTCCATATCTCTTTTTGATCTTCTGTTTCATTCTACATATAAGTTATTTGGAACCTTTCTGCTCTCCTCAAATGACCAGTCCTATTCTTATTTCTCTTATTCTTTGTTCATTTCACATTTTATACTTCTACAGTCTTTCTTTATTCAAAGAGTAAGATGTTTTTATTTCTTTGAAAAGCTAACATCTGTGTTCTTAGTCTTACACCTTTTCCCCTTCACTAGAACCTAGCTATTTCTTACACTCCATGCTGGGTTCTCTACCTTATCACACTTAATCTTGAAAAATACCTTTCTTCCTACTCTCCTGTCCTTCCCATTATCACTGAGCTTGTTTGACATACAGTCAATTTTCAGTTTCCAATTTTTCAAGTCTTACTCAGCTACCTTCTGCAGTTTGGCTGTTTGTTTCTGCTGGTGTTCTGCTTCCGCAAGTGAAAGTAAACTGCTTTTCTCACCACCCAGGTAGATAGACATGGGTTAGGCTGACATTAAAATGCTATCACCCCCAAGACAAGACTGAGTTCCTTTTGTGTCTGACTGATTTCACTTAGCAAAATGTTTTCAGAGTTTATAGTAGCATGCATCAGAATTTCATCCTTTCTGTGGCTGGATAATATTCCATTGTAATAGTCCACATTTTGTTTATCCATTCATCTGTTGATGGATACTTGAGTTACTCATTTCCATCTTTGGCTTTTGTGAATAATGCTGTAGTGAACATTGGCTATACAAATATCTCAGTCCTCTTTTCAGTTCTCCTGGGTATATACTTAGAAGGAATTGCTGGGTCATATGGTAATTCTTTGTTTAGCTTTTTGAGAAACTCCCAAGCTGTTTCCACCACAACTTCACCAC